AGAGATTTTATTAATAATTGGGACATGCGTCATAATGAGTCTCTGCTTTTTGGGCCTTTGAATTTTTTGGCCTTCGGCTTCATAGGATAAAAGAGAAAAAGGAATCTCATTAACCAACAAAAAGCTGGGAAAATAAAATTTAAAGATAAGAGTTCTAGAAGAAGAAGAAAACAAAAAACTTTAACCGACGATAGAGACCAATATGATTCTGTATTTTACTGTTAGGTTTTGTTATAGTAAATACTTCAAATATTATCAATTTATTTCAAAATGAGGGAGGAATAGTCATATCCACATCTGAATTTAGCCAGATAATTTACCCGCATTATTAACTAAGGTAATTAAGATGGAGGTTGGTTGCACAGTAAAATCTAATAATTCAGGCATTATCTGAGTCAACTTAAACCACTCTAACTTGTGAAATTTTGGGTCGATGGTGAGAATGGAGATGATTATTACTAATGAAAGGGATTAGAGAGAGAAAGAGAGAGGTGGCTTTCACATGGCAGCCATTGTAGCATATGATGATGGTTCAAGATAGGTGAAATCATCACTTATCTATATGAATCTATTAACATTTCGGATTAATAAACATTTTGTTATCGAATTTTGTGAAAAAAAAACATGATAAATCTTCAAACATGTCTCTGTATTCTAATTCCCTCGTGAAAGAGTACAAAACAAAAATAGTCCATAGACTTAAGAATCATCCAATACTGATTTTTCTTTTTAATAAGTTTGTAGATGGTTTAAGGTTTAGGGTTTTGAGTCCATAATGATTTGAATTCTTGTAAGTTTTTAGATGATTAAGATGACATGAGTCTATAAAATGATTTGATGAATTTAAGAGAATTGTTATTTTTATCAAAATGCTCCAAAGTATCATGGAATTTGGTTATTTATTGAGAATTACCCTAAACTACCAAAATTATAAGAAAACATAAATACCAAAACCTATAATTTTTTCAACAACACAAGATTTTTAAGGTACTTTTCTGTATTGTCCATCAAGTAATGGAGGAATTTGAACTATTTATATTAGGAAGAATCCTTTGTCCAGAAATAAGAGATTTTAGAAGACACATTTTCATATCCTATGAAACTAAATTTAAATATTAAAAAAAACAAGAAGTCTTCTCAACTCCATAATCCAGTAAATTCTTGAGATAATATATTCAAATGACTAACTAACTTGTTTCCACATAAGAGTATCCAATGCCCAAAATGGGAAATTCTCGTAAGGAGTATGACCTGGTAATTAGTTGATTTAATGTGATTATATATGTTCCTAAATCCTAATTACTTACCAATAATTCATAACCATATTTATCATCATTTTCAACATTAGTGTTAAGCAAACAGAAATAACTCTTATCTTTCAACCCTTAATAATGATTTGGTTTGTGTACTCTTCATTCTTACCCCTCTTTCAATGTAATAATTTGCAAGTGGGTCTATTATTGAGTTTAATTATGAAGCCTATGCCACTTTTTTTTTGTTCCTTTAATTTGTTTTTTTAATAAATCTTGAGATTTTGTCTATTTCTTCTGGATCATAGTTTATTGGTCTTTTACAAATATTATAAAATTGTGAGTCAAAAATCTCCATGTTATGGATCTTACGAATGTATTAATGCTCATAAAATTTTACATAATCTACATGTCCAATTTTATCTATTGTATATCGTTGGAAATTTTAAAAATAATAGTTGCATAAATCGCTAGATATGAAAGTCACAACTAAATTTTTTTCTTTCTTTCAACTATGACATTTTGACTCTCGATTTGTTTTTCAAATGTCTTTTAAAGTACATTTGAATTTTCACAAAAAAAAAAAAACATCGTACACCTTTCTCATAATTTAGTTCTAATTATATGTTTAGTCTTTATAAAACTCTTTAAAAGTCAATGCATTTGTACTTGTTTAATTTAACTTTGAAAATTTTATACAAAAACGTAATGATTACCTTGTATTATTCAGTTGCAGCATTAAAATAACGTATTAGAAGTTAAACATTTTAATTGTTTGAGCATTTTAACCTTTTTTCAACAGGTTACGAATTTATCAAGATTGAACCCTACCCATAACCACCTTCTTTTGAAAAAGATGGGAGTTTGATTAGCTTTTGGATTTGTTTGGTTAG